AAAAAAAAACAAAAAAAAAAAAAAAAAAAAAAAAGTGTGCATGTTGTGGAAATTAAAATAAGTATTGGTCCATGTTGGCTGGTGACACTCACTCCCCACTCACAACTGTGACTCTGTGGGGTTTCCTGAGCCCCACAAGCTTAGGGAAACCTCTGGCCCAGCAGGGACTCCTCACAAGCACCAACTGTGTCCACTGCTGGTTTAATGATCCCGGGTTGCCTCACCTGTCACCTGGTTTACATTCTGATATCCATCTTTGACTGCAACCCACGGATAACTAACAGGTACGAGCAATTATGAAGAGATAAGTGGACCACACTCGGTCATCCACGCTGTAACTAAAGGTAATTTTCTAGAGCTAAAGAAGACCTGGGCTTAAAAAGATAAAGAAAACTCATTACTTTCCAGGTAAAAATTATGAAAAAAAGATTGAAGAGACAGATTCATTTATTTTTAAGCCAAAATATTGGATTCAGTTTGGCTGGCCTAACCCAGGATGAGTGAAATGATATTGTTTTTTGTTGTTGTTTGTTTGTTTGTGCTTGATTTTCTTTAAAAGGAAGAAGGGAAGTCAAACAATTAGAGGGAGATGGTGGACAAATGTGGTTGGACCGGCTGCCTCCTCTCCCAAGAATGGTCTAAGCTTCCCTGACCAAGGATACTCACCATTCTCCAGGCAGCACCTAAGAATCAGGCAGTTCTAAGACAGAAAGGCCAGGTCTGCACACCCGGATGTGGGACAGCTATGCAGCCGCCCAGGGCACCCGCTAAGGTCTCTGCTGTGACTGATGTCACACTTCACCTTCTCATCTGCACAACCCGTTTCTCTCTCACTGCTGCTGCTCCCAAGAATTTTCACCAACAAACTTCCCCCAGGACACTCAGGGAGTCTGGCTCAAGGCAAGAGGCCATGGCTGTGCCAAGCCCCGGGTGGCAGGAGGACACCCAGTGACTGGTGTCTGAGCCACCCCTGTGTCACTCACCGAGGAACACAAATCAAATCCTCAACACCAAAAGACCTGGCTGAGGACCGAGAGTCCCTGCCTTCAGGTGCCCACGACCAGCACCCGCTGGACGGGAAGCCAAGAAGGGGAGGCCAAATCTCTTCTGTACAAAATGGTTCTGCACAGAACACATTTATTTCAAAAAAGAACAGGGAATCTAAAGCTAAGAAAGATAGTACATGAGGTGCATCCATCAACATGATTTCACTACAGATAAGGTTAATTTTATGAAAGTCTAAAATATTTTTAAAATATGAAAAAGAAAAACATCATCAAATTAATTTTAGGGGGAAAACTGGATAACAAAGAAAAAAATCATAGGCCAAGCTCACCTAAAGATAAATGCACAGTTTTCAAAGCAATTTATTTTTATGAGGCTCTCTCTCACCAATGAAAAGGCAAAAAGTAAAATATAGATATTGAGCTATATATGCTGTGTAGGTAATAAAAATAATAAAAACAACCCATGGGTCACAAAGGAAATTACAGATTAGACAGTTTTTACAATTTGATGATAATGCCAGAACAACACACAGGAATTTATGGGACACAGTGAAAGCAGTTCTACATGGGAAAATCATAGAAGTGAATGCCCATACTAGGAGAATAGAGTGAACTCAAATAAACAACCTAATGGTGAATCTTAAGCTCCTAGAAAAAGAAGAAAAAGTGAAACCCAAAGTTGATACAAGGGAGGAAATTATAAAGATCAGAGCAGAAATCAATTCAATGGAGACTAAGAAACAATACAAAACAAACAAAAAAACAAAACAACAACAAAAAACAATGAATCGAAGAGTTGATTTTTCCAAAGAGTAAAATTGATAAACCCTTAGCCAACATTATCAAAAAAAAGGAAAGAAAAGGCTTAGATCCATGCAATTAGGAATGAAAAAGATGAAGCCATAACAGGTCCTGCAGAAATCCAGAGGATCATCAATACCTACAGCAAGAACTTGTACTCTAATTAAATGGAAAACACAAAGAAAAGGACAGATTTCTACATATTTATGAATTATCAAAGTTGAACAAAGAAGATATAAAAATTCTAAACATCCCCAACTACAATCAGTGAAATTGAAAACATAATTAAAAATTTACCAACAAAGAAAAGCCCAGGTCCTGAAGGATTCACTGCTGAATTCTACAAGACATTTAGATAAGAACTATTGTCACTACTCTTTAAACTTTTCAATGAAATTGAAAGGGAAGTGATACTTCTGAATTCATTCCTGGAAGCAAGTGTCACTTTGATGCCAAAACCAGGGAAAGACACGAGCAAAAAAGAGAACTATAGGCCAATCTCCCTAATGAACATAGATGCAAATATCCTCAATAAGATAAGATACTGGCAAACAGAATACAGAGGGTCATCAAGAAGATCATACAGGCTGACCAACTCAGATTTATCCCAGGGATGCAAGGATGATTCAACATATGTAAACCAATAAAGGTAATACACTATATTAACAAAGTCAAGGACATATGATCATCTCAACAGATGCAGAAAAAGCATTTGGCAAAATTCAACACCCATTCATTATAAAAACCCTAGAGAAAATTGGAAAGATGGTCTTCATCTCAACTTGATAAAGGCTGTCTATGCAAAACCAACAGCCAATATCATATTAAATGGTCAAAAACTGCAAACCTTCACGCTAAAATCAGGAATGATGTCCACTATCACCACTCTTGTTCAATACAGTTTGGGAAACATTAGCCACAGCAATTAGACAAGAGAAAGAAATAAACGCAATAAAGATAGGAAAAGAAAAAGTTAAACTGTCATTATTTACTGACGATATACTATACATAGAAGACCCAAAAATTCGCCAAAAGACTTCTAGACTTAATTGACAGATTCAGCAGAGTAGCTAGATACAAGGTCAAGACTTAAAAATCAATAGCCTTCTTGTACACAAATAACAGACTGACTCACTAAGAGAGAAACTAGGGAAACAATTCCTTTCACAATAGCATCCAAAAAATGAAATATCTAGGAATCAATCTAACGAAGGAAATAAAAGACCTCTACATTGAGAACTACAACACTCTGAAAAAACAGAGACTGAAGAGGATATAAGAAGATGGAAAGATAACCCTTGTTCCTGGGTAGGAAGAACCAATATAGTGAAAAATGGCCATACATCCAAAACTGCTATACAAATTCAATAAAATCCCAATTGAAATCTCAACAGTATATTTCACAGAACTAGAGTAAGCCATCCAAAAATTCATCTGGAACCAGAAGAGACCTAGAATAGCAAAAGCCATTCTAGGCAACAGAGAAATGTCAGGGGGTATATCACAATCCCCAACTTGAAACTATACTACAAAGCCCTGTGATAAAGACAGCATGGTACTGGCAAAGAAACAGAGCCAAGGATCACTGGAATAGATTGGAAGATGCAGAAACAACTCCAGGCACACTCAGCTACCTCATCTTTGACAAAGGAGCCCAACATCCTCACTGGAGGAAAGATAGCCTCTTTAGTAAATGATGTTTGGAAAAACTGGATTTCAACTTGCCAAAGATTAAAACTAGATCCCTATCTTTCCCCATGCACTAAATTAAAATCCAAGTGGATTAAAGATCTAAACATTAAAACAGAAACATTAAACTTGTTGGAAGATAAGTTAGGTAGAACTCTTGAAGACACTAGCATAGGAAAAGACTTTATGAACAAATCCTCAGTAGCACGGGAACTAGCACAAAGAATCAATAACTGGGATCTCATCTTATTAAAAAGCTTCTGCAGTGCAAGAGAAACCACCAACAGAGCTAACAGATAACCTACAATGTAGGAAAATTTTTTTACCAGCTGGTTCCTCACACAAAGGTCTACTATCTAGAATAAAGAATGAAAAAAAAAATCAGGCCCCCCAAATATAAAGACCCAATTCAAAATCGGACATCTGAAATGAACAGACATTTCTCAGACAAAGAGGTAAAAGCAAAGCAGCTAATAAACATATGAAAAAATGTTCAACATCACTGGTATTTGAGAAATGGAGATGAAAGCAACACTGAGATTCCACCTAACCCCAGAAAGAATGGCTGCTATCAAGAAATCAACCAATAACAAATGCTGGTGAGGTTGTGGGGATAAAGGAACCCTTCTTCATTGCTGGTAGGAGTGCAGACTCATGCAACCACTGTGGAAATCAGTATGGAGGTAACTCAAGTCCCATTTGACCCAACTATTACCCTGGTGGTTATCATCCCAAAAGAATTAAAAGAATCATACCACAGTGATATATGCTCACCCATGTTTATAGTGGCACAGTTTGTAACAGATAAAACTTGGGAACAGCCCAACTGCCCATCAACCTGAGACTAGATAAAAAAAGATATTTTTTTTAAAAAAACGAAATGGCGTACTACTCAGCCATAAAGAACAAGAAACTAGAAACATTTATAGCTAAGTGGATGAACATTGAGGCCATAGTCTTAAGTGAAATTAATAGGATACACATGTGTAAATACTGAATAGTTTCTCTGGTGTGAAAAACTAAAAGTGTAAATAAGGTTTGAATTATATAATTGTAACGTGAAATAGGAAGATAGGGGAAATAGGAGGATAGGGGAATTGGGAAGGGTAGGGGAAAGGAAAGAAGGGAAAAGAAAAAAATATGATAAAAGGAAAAAATGGAAACAAAGTCTTTGTAAATAGGGAAGGGGGGGTGAACGGAGGGCAGGGGAATGGGGAAAAAATAAGAACCAAGATACATCATGTAAAGGTACCAGATCCCAATGATAAATAACTGTACTGCTTACTTAAATTGTACCAATAAACAATGGAAAATAATAATGAAAATAAATTACATGAAAAACCCACAAAATTAAGAATTATATATGAATTCTAGCAATTGTCTTTGGAAAGAATTACAAAACAAACTCTGGTAACTCAAATTAAGAACAACAGAAAAAAGCAGAAACTATTGAAAATGAGATAAAAAATAAAATAAAAATGAGGTAATCATGCACATCAAATGTTAAATATGAAATTCCTCGTTAAACAGATAAGTTTGAAGAAAAAAAATACCAAAATTGCCTTAGCAGATACAAATTTAAATAGATCACTAAATTAAATCACAGTGCTATTAAATCATTATCCCCTCAAACAGCTCGGAGCCAGGAAGTCTTTCTTCTGACTCCCTCCGGCCCTCAGTGAGCACTTGTCGGTGTACAATTAGACACACAGTTCCAGGGTGGCACCACTACTGATGACAGGAGACACTGCTGCCTCGAACGCATTGCATCCTCAGGGTGATCCAGCACTGGGGCCCTGCGCCACATCCACGTCCACGAGAGGAACTGAGGGACATGGCAGAGCTGAGGCTGAAAGGCCACGACACTACCTGCCCGGGGGAACTGATGTTCACAAAGAAAGGCTCAAGCCCCTGATAACTGCACCGTTGTTATTAAACACGTCTCCCCCTCACACGTCACCTACTCGCTTGGGGTGTACTACATGGCAAGCACTGATCCAAGCAAGCACAAAAGGTATTGCCCTCCACCCTCACGGCGGAGGAGATACGTCGTCATCGTCCTTCTGGACAGACACGGGACAAACAGAAGCGCACAGCACGGCCAGGGTCACACAGCTAGAACGTGGCAGGGGAAGATGAAGCCCTGGCTGCCTGCAGGGTCTGCACAGAGCGCTACACGAAACGCCAGGAAACATGGCGAAGACAGCACTTAGCGTGACTTTGCCGTTAATCGTTAATTACTGCTTCGTGACAATCAGATTCAGAAGCCAGGGCAACGATTATGGAATGGGCCGCTGCAGGCAGGCAGTCATTAGGTGCTGCTCTCAGAGATGCTACCATAATCTGAACAAAAAATGCACACGGAATGCAAAGTCTGCAGGGCCAGTCATTAAGCTGATATCGAGACCAACATCTTCCTGTAAAAAATAAGTCAAAATTATACAGTTATGTCGGAATTACAAGTACAATCTATACTACGACTAACTGTCAGTATGACTTCACTGCTTAGTTAATCACTGTTTTTTTCAATAAAGATACGGGAAATTATTTTCTCCAGTACAACTTGAAACATTTGCTCAAATGATTTTCCCTTCACTTTATGGTATTAAAGACCATATTTTGTTTGGATTCAGAATATACTTGGAATCCACTTTTAAACATATGAAGCAAATAACACCAATGATACTAAAGAGACTGTATGACAGGAACCAAAGACAGAGTGTTACTAAACTTTATACAGTCCTGTCCTGGTAGATGAAAGGCACTGCTCATAAAGGCCACAGGTATATCTGTATTATGAATTGCATGCTATATCTATCCTTGACAGTAAAATTTTATTGCCTGCAATAAGAAATGAGCCAAGGGAATGAAGTTTATCTTTAATGTAAATATGACTGCTATATTCTGGTTACGTTTTTATTTTGCTTAATTAGCAATGTTAGAGACTGAACCCAGAGCAAAGTGCTCTACCACTGAGCTACATCCAGCTGTGGTCAAGCTTGGGCTCACTGAATGTTAGTGTTCATATCCATCAATCAAGAGAACATGGCTACCTCTGGCTTCGTGTGCCGGTCTCCTTTCGCCTTCTGTTCTCTCTTCCACGTCTTCTTTGACCTCATCGGCATGCTGGTCTCTGAGAAAAATAGGTGTTTTGGGATTTAGTTAAAGAGGCATTAAAAAAAAGTTCAAAATTGCATCTTAACAACTGTTTTTAATTTAAAACAAATGGCACCACTAAAATTCTAGAAAGGATCTGAGATTCTACCACAAAGCAATTAATATGAATAGTATCTGTAAAGGTGCACTTTCCTCACTATCAATTTCTGATTACTATTAAGAAAGGAGGTTAGCGAAGAATAACATTCAGATGAACTTGTTTAAAAAATGTAACTACTGAATAATTCAACTGTGATTTGGGGTAGGAATTCATGAGAAATATTATTTGTACTCTGGCAAACTTCATCTTCAAGAAAGAAAAATGTTCTCACAGTCTCCACTGTTTACTAAGCAACTTTATTCCTCTCAAACGTGGGACTGGGGTGGAAGAGGAGACTAACCCATGGGAATGGATCCCAATGCTACGGTCAAATCCATAGGCTGAAATGTTTCTGCCTCTTTTTGACCAGGAATAGCCTAATATTAAATTAAACAATGAGGGATGTCCCAGAACTGAATGGACTCATTGAAATCTTCATTCCGAGCTTTACCCTTCAAGCCAGAATGAAAATAGCTTTTTAACATTAAAGAAAGAAGCTGGGGATGGTGGTGTGATCACAAGTTTAAGAGCCCAGCCGAGGCAACTCAGCAACTTGGTCAAACTCTTCTCAAAGAGAAAGAGAAGAAAAGAAAAAAACAAAGATTGGTGGCAGGGATTTAAAACTTTTCAGCTGAATGTATTCTACTCCCAGCATTCAAAATATTCAAAATAAACCTTAGTTTGCAATCTCCTCTAAGATATGATATTACTTTGGTGCTTTATATTTTGACCCAGGATCATGCCTTTAAGTTTAAGAACAAGGAAATAAATCTAAAACTGAATGTTCCAACAAAATGTAAAAGCAGCTCTGTAGTTTTAATTACACAGGCACTGGCTTATTCTCCATTTGAAATTATAATACTGTAACAGCATGATGCTAATATGGTATATATGGAAAAATGTGACTTTTTTAAAAAGATCATTTCCAAAGCAAATGTGAAATTTCATTTGAACCTGAGCTCCTTGGCTGAGTTCTTCCTAGATATGACTGGTCACAATTATTAAAGATTATCTGTGTTCCTCTGAGAATGAGGAGGAATCAGTTATTAAGCAATGAGGACACTTTTTTTTTGAAGACACATTTTTATAGGAAATTCAGAATGCTCTGAGGTAGGATTTTAAAGAATCTATTCCATTTAGAGCACCCTTAGCATTTTCAGTTTAATATTAGAACAATTTAATGACTACAGAGGTCCTTACTCCACAGAAAGCAGGAGAGAGAGCTACCGAAAAAGCAAATGTGAGAGACTCACTGATAACTAGAGCAAGGATATTAGTTGAGATGTTGATAGAAGGTTCTGTCTTCTCTGGATGGGCAGTGATGAAGCCAAACTCGGTAATTACCATTTGTTAATATCAGCTTACTGTGTGCTAAAATGGAGTTGTGAACTTCCAAACTTGTGTTCTAGTAAGTTCTAAATGCTGAGTAATCAGAACCATCATTATATTTAAGACATTTATCATAGTCAAAGACCCATGCCATCAATTCCCTGCTAAATAACCCCTCATTTGGACACCCTTCCCCCTTCATTCTCTCCACTCCGAAGCAGCTCTCAGCTCCTCTTTGTGAGTCTTTAGTTACACTGTGGAGGCTGCCTTGACATCGTGATTGTTTTGGGGACGAGCCAGCAGTCACGTAGGCCCAGATCCAATGAAAGAGGTGGATGAGGACACTCTGTAATGTGTTTTCAAGTCTAACTTTCTGCTAGATGGCATTTGGTAGCAGAAATGCTGTATTTTTAAAACCACACCTCATAAATATGCATGAAAGTGGACTTCCAGAACTGCTATAGAAAGTAGCAAAAGCAATGGGATAAGTATGTTTAAAGTGAGTGGGGAGTATTTTCAAGTAGATTTAGGGCAATGCATTTTTTTCCTTTAACAATTATTTTTATTTAAATACACACCATATTTTTTTATCAGCATTTGTACATTCTTTGAACTCGCAAGTTCTATACCAGTAACCATTGTGGCCAACGGAAAAAGCTTTCTGTGGGTAGCTAACTATTAATATTTATTTGAAGCAAAGATATGATGCTGTGATATAACCTGAATTCAGCATATCCCAGAGTGAAAGAAAATAAACTCCCAATTAATTACTGTGGCTTTCCTATAGACTTTGATGAGTGACTGAGTTTTACTGTGTTTTTTTATAAAGAGAGGGACAAAGTGAGATCAAAAGCTAAAATTAACCTTTTTTGTGTCTATGTTTGTATGATCAGAGATACCCACTGATGATCGAGTTAGTATTTGTGTGTTTTTGTTTGTTTGTTTGCTTTGGTACGCGGGATCGAACTTGGGACCTTGTACTTGCAAGGCAGGAGGCGGAACCACTGAGCTACATCCCTGCCCACTCTTTGCGGTCTTAATAAAGCACATTGATCTTTAAAGCTACTTCCTTAAAGTAAGACTATTTTCTATGAACAGAGATAAAAAAAGGAAAAGAAAACCCTTAGCCCAGTTCCTTTTAGGGCCAGACCTGCCAAAATCAACTCCAAAGGAGATGGAAAGTGGAGGCTATGTGTTCCTACATACGCTGCTCCATTAAAGTGTGTGCAGTTTTCACTCATGACATTTCATTAAATTGTACCCACATAAATCTGGGAATATATATAAAATGCGTGGTTATCTTTACTGAACAATTCCAATGAAGGGCTCTACAAGAAATGGTAACTGAATGTGGTAAGTGACTCTGCGCATTCTCTGAGCTCAAGGGAGGGGGACAGGCCCCCGTGTTCCTACGCTGTTTCTCTTAGCTGGAGAGGGGAGGGGAAAGGGAAGAGACGACAGGGACACAGCAAAATCCTAATCGAGCACCTTGCAACAGGCGGAGGCTGTCATACGAATAAAGAAGTTAGCGCTCTCGGGAATGCACAATGAGCTGGTTTGGCCGCATTCTGAACACCAAGTATTTCCTACCAGTCCATGCAGGAGGCTTCTCTTACTACAACCACTGCAACACAGAGACTCCAACTTCCAGGTCTCCAGGCCCAAATCTATAATTACATCCAACTACGCTCTGATGTTTACACCCATGTTTCTCCAAAATAAACAACACAGCCTTGTTCTATGGAGTTACAAGGAACATGCCTTCCTGTGCTGTAATCTCCTTTTCAAACCATCCTTCACCGATAAGGTCAGGAAGGAGGACTCTTAACTCCACAATCATCTCGTCTGATGTTTTATTATAAAAATTGTTGTCTCAAGTGGGCAAACATTATTTTTCTTTTCTTAGGGTTGGAAATTTCATTAACCCAATTCTGGTTAAATTGATCCTGTGATGCATTTCTTTCTCTGTGCAAAAGTGAAATTCTAGCTGTAGAATTTAAATGTTCTCAGCAAAAAGTTATCCCAGCTACGTCTTTCAATTAAAGATAAAATATGATCACATCAGAATGTGAAGCATCTGGGAGGATATCATACTCTGGAGCATAATATGGGAGGCTTCTTGACAGATTTTTAAAAAATGAACCAGAGCCAGGAGTGATGGTGCATGTCTATAATCCCAGCACTTGGAGGCTGAGGCAGGAGGACTGCCACAAGTTCAAGGCCAGCCTGGACTACACTGAAAGCCTGTCTCAAAAAACAGACAAATGAACCAGAAATATTTTATGCCCTATTCTGATACTCTAAGATTGCTCGACATAAAGTCTCCTGCTCAGCTCTCCAAGCTCAGCACTTCTCATAGGCAGCAGCTCCCCTAGGTGGGCACAAATTGTGCTGAGACAGGAATGTGCCTCCCCACGTGTGAAAACAGCCAGCAACCAGTCGGCCACATGGTCCACCTCAGAATGCAGCTATGCCACTTAGTGCTCTCACACGACCCTCCGCAGACTTCACTTCATGAGCTGTCAAGCGTGTCATTTACAAAATGGGGATAATGGAGCCTCACAGGGCATTTGCAGGACTGAAAAAAACAGTGTATCACACTGCTTAGCACAGAACCAGGCGCATGAGCAGGAGAGCAAACACGGCAGCTACTGCGTCTCACCAGTTAGATAAAATGATCTGCTGATATCCACGCTCCCTGAACTGCTTACTTCAGTTACCACCGCAACCTGTAGAGCAAAGGTTCTGGGCTGCCTGGGTTAGACACTAGGTCCACTCCTGGGGGGCCTAAGTGAGCACCGATACCCGCCAAGGGCCCTGGAGGGCCCAGTGAGCTAGCAGAGGGGAATGCACCCAGCAGATAGCTACTTCTGTTGGGACCTTAGAATTTTTCAAGAACCATAAGGTTAAGGGATATAAACTAAACAAAAAAGCACAAGTATTACATAGTTTCTCTCATATGAGAAACTCAAGGTATGAATAAAGAGCAAAATATAAGATTACAGGAAACAGCGAAATATGTTTTACAAATTTGAAGGGGCCCAGAAGATGGAGGGAGTAGAGGGAAGTGAGGGGAAGATGAAAAAGAATTACGGTGTTATGTACACGTGCAAACTCCTCACGAGCAACGTAATCACGAGATACTGCAAACATGTACTAATAAAAATCAAAATAAAAAGAGAACCTGTTAAACATTTCTTTAGCTTAAAATAATTACAGTAAAATCTTGCAAATGCTCTGGGCTTTTAATTAACACAGTGGAATCCAAAGGGTGTCCTTTGTGACTCAGCGCTCTCTCTTCTGGAATTGTGGGTCACATCTTCCAAGTCTTCCTATCTTACTCTCATTATGCCTTGTGGTAAATATTAGGGAAACAAATACGAGAAGAGTAAGTGCCTGGGAAACAGGATGGCATTTGAATGCATACAGCTGTATTTCCTCAAGTTTGTTTACTTTTCATTTAAAAACAATCCCCACCCAATTACATTCCAATGGGCCTCACTGCTAAAAATAATAGTGAGAGGAATCTGAAACAATACATTATCTCG